TGGAGAAAATTTCCCAGTTTGTATTTTTGTACAGGTAAAACTGTCCCTCACCCGAATTTTCAAGTATTGGTGCTAAGTTATCGTCGAGTTCTAGTTGTGCAATGAGAGCTCTGTGATCACTATCATAAATTTTTGTTGGGACTCTTCCGTTATCTAAATTTGTGAAATTTAGGCGACAGTCAATTAGTGCAAGATCTAAGTAAGTTTGGTGTTCGATATATGTATAATCGTTGGGGGGAATTATATTCAATTTTAATCTATGTTCGTTAACGAGTTCCCGAAGTCTGAGATTTCTACCTCTATCATTTGAGTCGTAGTCTCCGTAGCAGGGGTTCCTACAATTCAAATCTCCCATCATGACGTAGAATGCTCTGTCGCTGAACAGCTTCAGTTCATTGAAGAGTATGTTAAGTTCATCGAAGAAGATATTCTTCCTGTGGTCTTTATTGGTGGCATAACCACTGATGCAATATATAGATCTGAAATCTAAAGTTTTTATTTTAATAATTGAGTATTCGAGAATTTTGTTGTTTTTAGAATTGGGATAATTAATTGTTGTGAATTTGATATCTTTTCTAATTAGTATCGCAGTGCCTCCAGAGAATTCAGAATTATGTCTGTCTTTTCGAATTAATTCATATTTATCTAATTTTATTTTGTGTTTAGCATTCAGTTTTGTTTCTGACAAAAACGCGATATCTATATTATTTTTTTCCAGAAATTCTTGTAAGAAATATCTTCTCTGTTGTCTAACAATTGAATTCACATTAATTGAGGCTAGGTTTAGGTGATTTAATTGTACTATATCTTGATAAATATCGTTGTTAATTTGTGGGTTGATTACCGCCATTTTTAGAAATTTTTAAATGATCCATAATGATTTGGATATTATCTTTGTTTTTTTCTACTTGAGCAGAAATAGGGTTTAATTTATCATTGAGTTTATTATCGAGAGCCTCAATGAGTATGTCTTTCAATTTGTTAGCCCATTGTGGAGGATCATTTGGGTTATTTTGGATGTTAGTCCTTACATTATTCATGGGGATATGATTTCTTTGTGTATTATTAATATTTTGTACTTGAGAAGCTCTATTATCTGCGGATAATGTTTTCTTATTACTATTTTGCTTGACTTTCTCCGCGAAAGTGGTAGAAGGGGTCACTCTCGCGGCATATTTATTTAATTTTAGAGATTTATTGTTATTAATTATTTCATTGCGTGAGTTGATAATGTTCAATGCACCGGTAAAGTATATACAACCTCTCCAGTTAGCTGGGTGACCATTTTTACCACAGTTCGCACATTTAAGTAGTTGTCTTTCAGAATTGTCCTTGAGAGGGCATTGACCAGGCTCGTGTGTTTGCGCGCATTTCACACAGCGATATTCCAAAGAGCAGTTTCCAGCTGAGTGGCCTATTCTTTGGCACTTCTTGCATTGGAATGCTGCCTTTTTCTTTAGAGGTTCCCATTTTATTTTTTGATAAAGCAAGTATTTGATTTTAGTTAAGTTAGGGACAATTGAATCATTTGATAATTGGATTAGATAAGCAAAAGAGCTGTTTTCTTATTCAATATTAGTTTGCTTAGCTTTATTATCGTTATATTGTCTATTTTGAGTTCATTGATTGCATCAATAATATTAGCTTCTGAAAAATTCCCAAAAAAATTTTTTAGAACAATGTTCTTATTCTTTTCATTTTTGGGAGTATACGTATAGAATTTTTCCTCATTATCGATTAATAATTTTTCAAATTCTCTATATGTTATGATATCATGTGCTTTAATAGTGACAAAGTCAGAGTTTTGTGCTTGACTTAGATGAAACTTATCTTTAAATTCTCCATTGTTGTGTGTTGCTAGTATCTCGGCAATCTCGTGTAGCTGTTTCCCTCTGGCCTGGAGTGGAGGGGGGCGGGAACTGCTAGGCTTTGGTGCGTTTCGGGTATCTTGGCCTTTCCTTTGTTGTGGATGAAGTCGTTGACTAATCTCGGGTTCTTCACCTTGGGTTTGCAAATCGACATCGAGGTTTGTCGTTTCATCGAGTTCGGTGCCCTGTGGTGTCCTTGTATTGCTAGACGCCTGTGTAGACTTCAAAGAGGTTTGTTTGTGTTGGGTATCACGTTTGGGCCTCTTTTTCTTATTATTTGGGGATTCTTCGGACGCTATTGAAGAGTTCTCGGAAGAATCGAACTGTTTCTCGATATTTTGTTCCATTTTCTGCGAGTTTGATGAGCTCGCTTGTGAGGGAGAGAATGGAATAGGCGATTTGTATTTGTTACCATATTTCATTCTCATTCTGTTCATCTCTTTTTCCAGTGTAGCAGCAGTAATGTTTGTTACTTGCGTTCTACCCCTTTTTCCTGGGGTTAAATTATTTAGGTGGTCCATAGCCTTACGTTTTGGATCACTCTTGTTATCACGTGGGAGTAGACCGCGTCCGCGTCCTCTGCCTCGCATCTTATTAGTAACTTTTGCTTTGTTTTAGCCTGGCTCTTCCACAAAAGTTATTTATTAACACATTTCATTCTCATCTTTTTGATAATGAGAATTTGTCTCAACCCAATGTGTTATAATTGTTGGACTTTAAGTACGGTTTTTATACAGATAGTTGTTTAAACTCGTACAAACACACTCTCGCGTCTAAATAATATTCTTTAGCTTTGCGGAGATGCGTCCGTCCTGTATGGCTTTTGCGAGCCGACTGTCGGGTGCTCTTACCATCTGAGCTACCAGGACACTTACGAATTTCACTCTCAAATTGACTCATACCCGAGTGGAAATTTTGTTCAGGTCTTGATCAGAAACTGATCAAATCCGATCCGAAATTCTGATCAGCGCTGCCTTACGGTCGGAATGACAAAAATATTTATTCTGTTCATCGAACTGAAAAATCTTCGGAAAAATGATCTAAAATTCTGAAAAATATTGGCATTTAAGATAATATCCATTTGAGAATTCAAAAATTAGGATATTGCTTTGATTAATCAAAGGGATTTTGTAGAGGGGTTTTGGAACAATTGTTCCGAAACCCCTCTGCAAAATTCCAGATAGCCTAGGAGAATTGGTTAAACGCAGGAATTTTTTTAAAAAACGCATTTTAACACGGGCTCTTACGGGAATTCGGAAAAAAAAATTAAAAATCGAAAGAAAAGTCTCCATTTACTGCAAATTTCGCACTTGGGTGGAGCATTCATGAAGGAACATAAAAAACAATAATCCAAGAAAATTGACGGTCACATGACGAGGCATTTATGACGGCTGTCACAATTCCCCTCCTCTATGACCGTCACAATCTCCCAACAAATCTGACAGTCTTTTTTCATCTTTAGATGAAACAATTTTTTCCATTTATGACTGTCACAAATCAGCAGTGAAGCGGTAAATCGGGTCAAGTCGATTTTGACTATTGGCCAGTTTTTGACAAATATCTCGGAATTTAAAGGAGATAGAAAAATTTTTGTCGCGACCTTTTTTGTAGATCCAATTGAGGGTTATAAAAAAGGTCATACGAAAAATGCTATCTCTTAGATTGCGAGATATTTATCAAAAACTGGCCAAAAGCCAAAATCGGCTTGATCCGGTTTACCACTTCACTACTGAAATTAGAAATTAGTTATGACCGTCATTAGGCACCTATAAGATGTTTTGACAACAATTTGCTTCCAAATTATTTGTAACCATCATTTTTAATTAAAAAATTTGCGCGTCATATGACCGTCATAAGACCGTCATAAGACCGTCATTTTAGGTCAAATGATGCAGGCCCGAAAATGACGGTCATAGATAAACCTAGCTTTACGCGACGACACCTGCCCCCCGGTCCATCTACATCTATATATATCGATGTGTTTTCATAGATTTGAAAGTTGTTGGTCATGAACGTGGAAAGACCGAACAGCTCCAATTTTTCGTGTTAAATTTTGTAATAACAATCATTTATTGCATTCAATGACAACAGATATCAAAATCAATGAGTTCTCTATACTGTTGTTGAGTTGACAGAATATAAATCCAGTCTCTTTCAAGAAAACTGTGCGGCGAAAAGTTCTAACCTCAAATTCAATTACATTTTCGAATTTTTAATACCATAAACAACAATAAAACAGAAAAATGAATGATCCAAGTAGCTCAGGGGCCCAATCAGGAATGTTAATACGTGATGAGTATGGGTTCCATGAAACTCCATCAGGATTGCCTTCATCGAAAACACCGGTGTCCAAGTCGGCTTGTTCAAAATTACCGTCCTCAGCATTAGATCCTTCAAAATCATCTGCATCGCAATGTCGCAGGTAGTTTATTCATTTATTTATTATTTATAGATACCCAACATCCCTATTAAGGGGAGACTACCATGAGTTTTGAAAGTCGTGGGTTATTGGAAAGCCATTTCTCATACATTGAAGATGGATTATATATGGCCTAAAATGAATAATTAGTGTGATTAAATTAATTGTTTATTGTTCGTTTGCCCCGCAGACGCTTCAAATGTTAAAAATAGTCCAGGGCGTCCAATTTTTGAGCTACAGAGGTTTTTTTATTCAAAATTTTTGAAAAAATATGTGCAATAACAATTACGAATTTGTTTTTCGAAACTTAACTCCTACACAGCTATTTTCATTATTTTTTTAATACAAAATTGCACCATTTATGTAAAAAAGCCTGAAAAATGTTTCTAAAAGAATCGAGAATATATTTGAAATATTTTAAGGATAATTTTTCTGCCTATTTTACATGAATGGCGCAAATTTTTATTTCAAACGAAACGAAATTATATGTGGAGGAGTCGAATTTCAAAAAACGAATTCGTAATTATTATTGTACACATTTTTTCAAAAATTTTGAAAAAAGAAATCTCTGTAGCTCAAAAATTGGAGGCCCTAAACTATTTTAAACATTTTAAGCGTTTGCGGGGCAAATGAACAACAATAAACAATTGATTTTTTTGCACGAATTATTCATTTTTAGACATATTTCATCGATCTTCAATGTATGAGACATCTCACTCCAATCGCCCGCGACTTTTAAAACTCATAGTAGTCTCCCCTTAGAGCATTGACTAAAGTTTCGTTGGAAAAAAGTGAACATTAACGTTTTATTAACAAAATTCAGCTCAACAAGAACGTTAAAACGTAAGAGGTTGAATAATTCAGCGGTGAAAACGACGTCCAATCTCCAGCCATCAGCACCAAAGTCTTCCAGATCAAGTGTAGGCACGAGAAGTAAAGCCGGATCGAACGCAACGTTTGATGATTTTGCTATTCCATCAATCATTACACCAGAAACCGTGACAAAATCAGTGGTTCAACCAGACAGAATAAAAAAAAAACAAACAGGATCTAGTGCTTCCTCTGGAGCTGGTCGAAAGAACTCAAAGAACAAAAATCAAACTCACTTTAACCATGCACTCAAAGGTCTAGGGAGATGGAAGCCCACAGACGATCTAGCTCTCATCACTGGTGTTGAGCAGACAAATGACCTCAAAATAGTGCACAAAGGTACAAAATTCTCTTGTCACTTCACCCTACAGGAGGTTCAGCACAGGTGGCATGCTCTGCTTTATGACAGTGATGTTTCGAAGCTTGCAGTCCAGGCCATGAGGAATTTGCATCCTGAGGTGATTGCTAGTGTCCAATCAAGAGCATTGTTCAGTAAAGCTGAAGAATATCTCCTGGAGACCGTAAAATTAGTAAGAAAAATACATCACTCGATCCTACTAACATAGTTTGGAAATATATAACGTTACTGTATGTCTTTGCTTTTGAATCAATTTGCAATTGTTCAGCTTGCTCATTTTCTCATTTTGATTGAATTTTTTGATTGAATTAAAAAAACCATTAAACATTAAAGAAGGGAATTTATCCACATCTTTGTGACGTCATAAGAAATGATTGGATGGGATTTGAATGAGGCAGGAGGGGAACCGGGATTACTCTCAATATGAATAACCAGAAATTTTTCACTGAAAAAAAATGGATAATCCAGACCGGGATTTGAACCCGGGACCTAAATTAGAAAATGAGAAAATTTTATAAACTCATATAAAAGTTTGGACATATTGCGATTTTTCCATTTTACTGATATAATTTTTATAACGCGATTTTTCAAAAATAATCTCAACAACTAGTTTCGTGACTGATTTTCTGTATTGATGATATTAATACGAATAACCAAAATGGAAACATTCGGGAACCCACTATCGATGCTGTTATGTCTGGAGATGTTGTCAGCGTCGGAGGACGACTTTTTATATTTTAATTTTAATACTGTCGAAATATAATTCATGAATTACCAATAAAAGAATAATCTGAAGGGTTTTCTTTCATCTCTTTTAGTTTTTATTATCAGGATGCCGCTATGCAGTCCTTTTCAGGCGTAAAGATTAGTTCAAGTTTCTGTTTAGAATAGATAGATTAATTTGATTTATTATATTTGTTTCAATTCATTGGTTTCAAAATTTTAACAGATTTAATATTTAGTTGATTAGACGTTTTCAGATACAGAAGGCTACAATTTTAACGGAGCTATAAATTTTACTGTCGAAATTTTAATAAAATTATTATAAATGATTTTGCATTGATTACTCGGTTTCTGATAATGGATATAGATTTTACAATTATATTGAAAAATATTCAATACTATAACTAATGTATGAATTCTTCAGTAAACTAATGATTTCATCACCGGCAATGAAACCATATGGTGCTACTTTCAATTAGCCTATCTTCTTTCACTCTTAGATAGGGAAGAGTGAGGCAAAATGAAACAGTCGAAAAATGACTGACGCAATTCAAGCAACAAAAATTGTTTTTGTTCAATTTTTTAATCAATTTTTGTAATTCTTGGGAGTACTGATGAGAATGATAATTTTCTATTTGGCATCTAATGCAATTGATTAGGCCGATTACACTTTTCTTTTTTCATTCAATTGAAATTCAGCATCACATTTTCCTTTTTTCCCGCTCTGGGTCTCCCCTGTAGGGATTGAGGTGTCGTCGGGAAGGTAACAATCCGCCAACAAATACAATTAAACTAATAATTACAGATTTATTTTCCGCGTCAAATTAATACAAAAGTGAAGAGAAAATAATATGATCCGACCAAGTGTGATTTACGAACTGTACTGTTATACTAAATTATATTCGCACGGAAAGGTGTCAGCGAGGCTGCCGAATATCCTTACGATTTGACGAATCCGAAAAGAATACGCGTGGCACTGAAGGTGCAAGTGAGACAGCCAATGCCTGTGCTCGTTGTTAGCCAGTGTTTGCGTGTTAGGATGTAGCGAGGCGCTACACCCCTGGGCCTTCCTCGGGCCTTTGGATTTTGCTGTTTCATTTTCTTTTCAATTAATCCATTAACGAAATCATCTCCCGTCAAAACATCTCAATAATTTTTCATTCTACTGAATGTTATATTAATATTATACTCATTAGTACTCTCAAGAATAAAAAAGTTGATAATCAAAAGTTAATAAAAAATAAATTTAACAAAAAATAAATTTTTTGCTTCAATTGCGTCAAACAGTCATTTTTCGACTGTTTCATTTTGCCCCACTCTTCCCTAAGTAATAAAAGTTTTCGTAGAATTGAAAAGTTTACAAATAACTGAGCTGGTATGAAATGCGAAATAAAATACTGAAGGTCCCTTATATGCAAGAAAAAACACTATTCTCGATTTAAGGATGCATCAGTATCGCTACGCAGTCTCACCCGATGGCTATCTACTATTAATTCGATAGGTTACCACGCATAGTATCGACTTAAGCGAATTACTATATAGGAAGAAACGCGAAGGTAGATCGATTTTGTGAACATTTTCCACCAGTAGTTGAATAATTTCGCGATCACTAAGAAACTTTAGATTCCTCTCAAAGGGAGGGAAGCCCCCTTTAACACTCGACCACTCGGGACGCGGAGCGATAAACGCCTGATTCAATATATGATTTTAATTATGGAATTGAACGATGACCCAATAAATTGTGTCGTACAACGATTGAATTTTTCACTGATCAGTTAGCAACAGCATGGACTGTGTTGTCTTCGATTTCGTAAACTTTACGGGTGGCAAATGTATGTTGAGGGAATAAAATGGGGAAATGACGACGGAAAGTCGGTCATTTCACAATTTCATTATACCAATTTTATAACAATGATGAAGTCCTAATAAAATAATTCAATAATTATTTTTGGACATTACAATGCATTGAAAATGCATTAAGGCACCGCAGAGTAGGAAATGTACACTTGTACACCTGTGCTCTTCTACTCATTCTCTATTATTAATTGTATTCTTCTTTATCCACTTAGATACCTGAGCCAACGTTGGAGGTCTTTCGAAAACTCTTGGAAACAAATCCCCAGACTTTTCACTCAGCGCGAACAGCTAAAGTCCTGATGTACCACTGGCAATTGATGAAACACTATCAGTTACTCCCCGATCAGAGTGTCCAACTTCTCCCAAGTCATGATAACGTGGGGAATTTCTCTGACACTGAAGATATGATAAATGATAAAGAATTGGCTGATCAGAAGAAAGACTTGTTTAACATTGAGATGGCAATTGCAGACAGGCATAATAAAAGGAAAATAAGAGTATTGGAGAATGAACTTAGCAGATGGCTCGTGCGTGTTGATAACCTGACAGGGGCTATCCCACCGGATTTTGACAATCAGACATTGGCAATACTCAAGGGAAAACTCGTCAAATATTGTATGAAGTCCGAGGAAATTACTATTGGCAGATCAACGAAGGATCACAGTGTCGACGTAGATTTAACATTGGAGGGACCCGCTAGAAAAGTGTCACGACGACAGGCCACAATTCGTATGAGAAGTAATGGGGATTTTTTCTTATGTTCGGAGGGGAAACGTCCAGTTTTCGTTGATGGCAGACCCATTCTCGCTGGCAATAAATTTAAACTCAAGAATAATAGTATCATAGAGGTAAATTTAAGGATCCAATTGGATTTATATTTTTTATTCAATTGTTCGATTAATGATTCAATTGTTGAAATGATGGATTTTTTCTGTTTTTAATACAGGTCGCGAGTTTTCAATGTGTATTTCTCATAAACCAGGATTTGAGGTCAGTAATTCGTCAGGAATGGGAACGAAATTTTAAAGCACAATTGAAACCTTTGAAGTAGAAAAAATGAAAGTAATTTTGTTTCTCTACTCCGTCAAGACGAGTCATCCACTATTCAGAGCATTATAATCTTTTACTCATTATTATTTCTATAGTATTATTTGAAGAACAGTTTTCACTGCCGTCAGTATTCGTAAATTATTTGTATGTTATAATCTTGCTCAAATTCTATGCAGTCGACTGGACCTTTTGTTCCTGCAAAGCGACCGGTGAAATATATGTCGCCACCAGCTTCTTATCTCATTTTTCCTCACTAGAAAAATAGGAAGTATTTTGAAACAGAATTATGCATTGTAAATAATCAAATCTGTACATATTTTTGATACAATTTAGTATATTTTTTATAATAAAATCTGTAGATATCTGTACAATAATAATTATTTGAAAAGAAAGCAGTTTAATAAAACAATACAACTAATGTAAAAATGAACATCGCCAGAAAAATGCAAAACTTGACGAGCAGGCCGAAAAGTGCAAATGTATCGAGTGGAAAGGTTTGAGGAGGTAAAAACAGGATATTCGTGATTACTATTATCGCTGCGATAGTTGTCGGGGTTACTTTGCAAGAAGCAATTAGCCCAGTAGCCATAGGAAATTGGTGTAATTCGCATGTAGTAATTATAAAATCCCTTCGTTTTATTTTGACATACATTTGATGGGAATTAACTCATGAATTATTTACGGTAGAAATCATACTATTTGACATAACGAGTCAAATACGTGCCGAGCATATAAATGAAAAAATTTAAAACCTCACTTACCGCATTGAACGATGTAAAATCGTTTTGCTACAAGCATATAAGGTATATGCATTAGTGGAAACGCGAAATATTTTATTTTAGTACTAACCATCTTTTTTTTTTTATTCTTGTATCAACTTACAGTGAGTTATTTACAAACGTTTGGATGAATATCAGCAGGGATCGGAACAATCATCAATTTCAAAATAAGTTAAATTTAGCTTATGTTAACTGATAATATTACCCAACAATTTTCAATTACCAAATTAATCGTCAATAGAATATTCGAATTCCGAAATAATCTATCAGCCAGTAATCGTGTCAGAAGTTTGACCATTACATGTCTAANGTCAATAGAATATTCGAATTCCGAAATAATCTATCAGCCAGTAATCGTGTCAGAAGTTTGACCATTACATGTCTAATTGAAAAATCCTTTACGAAATTTAGAATTATTTACACAATAGTTAGTAGAAAATTTTAGTTATAAATTATTTTATTATTTTCAAATTTCAATTAAGATGAAAAAAGCCATAGTAATAGAAAGGTACAAATTCTAATAATATTACAAAATATTACAAATGTAATGATTGTTAGTTTTGATAAATTCATGTACAATTTTAATTGGTTCCAGTCTTTTGAGAATAAGGAGTGAATCTGGTAAACGGCCTTGGCCATTTGTTAACCATCTCTTGTTTGAGAATTTTCTGAACAACCCGGGCTGTCGTAGATTTTTCCACTACTACTTTTTTTGTCAACATTTCATTATTTTCAAGAATATAATGGAATTTTCTGGAACGTTCTAATTTAGAAGGTGTTGCCACTAATTTTTCCAAGCTAGTCAATTGAAAATCTATTTATTCATACTTTTATTGAAAACAATTAATAATGAAATAATTCAATTAATTGGTTGCAATTGATTGAATGATGGCTTATAAATTTGTTTGAATGTCCCTTTGACCGAGTTCGAAGATAAAAGCGATAGTACTAATCGTTCTTTTGATTTATTTGAAAATTGGCAAAAATTTTATATTTTTTGAAAATCAGAATTCCGGAGATATCTTTAAATATCATGCTTCAAATGAATTCAATCACAGCTTAAAAAGTTTGTTTTAATGCCATCAAGTTGAAATTAAAAGATTATTACGATAGCTATATTGGTTGATTTGATTTTTATGATTGTTGAAAATTTCGAATTTTTCATGAATTTCCGTGAAAGAGAGCGTTGTGTCTAAGGGTTTCTTCAAATGTACTGTTTCAAATTCAATCAAGTATGTATAAATATTATTTTTCTATCAACATTTTATCGAAGGACTGAGAGGAGAGATAAAACTGTAAAAAGGACGATCAGTTGCACAGAAGAAAGGGATAATAAGAATAACGATATGATGATAAAATTCAACTAAGTTGAAAATCTGACAAAATTAGCTAAAAAGGAATCTTATACAATTTAAAAAAATTAAATAAACAGTGAATTATACATGTCAGAAGGAAATGATGTGCAAAATAACCATTCGGAAACATATTGCTAATTTATTAGCAAAAATAACTATACTATATACAATACAAGAGCAATTTTCCACTTGTTTAATTGTCAAAAGTTTCGGTAATGAGTAATTTTGGAGAAAAACCTCCAGACTTTCGAAAACTTTGTTTCTCCGAAAATCAATGCATCAACATTGAAGCGCGAGTGTAGAGGCAGCGACCTCCACCAATGTTCTGTTCTCCGGATATTTCCCGTGACTTTACGAGACCCGAATGTCCCGTTTCAGACAGCATTTGGACGCAATATGGACGCATCGAAAGTCTTACAGACTATCGCATGTGACTTGACTTATATGCACCGATTCACTAATTCAATCTGGATAAAAAATTAGTAACGTCAATAGACAGCATCAAGAGACCTTTGCTGGAGACAATTTGATCTACAAAAAACATTTTTAGACAATTAACTCTCACTCAGTATCGAGATAACTGTCTATTTGAGAAAAATAGTTTATATAATAATTTAAATAGTTCATATAATGAAAGATTTTGCCAATAACTGGATTACTCCAGTAATTATAGATTCCATGAAAATATGAAATCTTATTCTTTGATGAACATATTTTCAACGAAAAACCTCTTCGGACATCATATTTCAAAAGTTCGCCTTCGCCAAAGAAACAAATTTATAACCTCTTACGTGCGGTGTCTATATGCCATGTACATACGCAAAATTATATGAAATAATTTCAAAACTATGATAGATAATGTAATCAGACCAACGCCATTAGGCTGAATATTTAAGTTTTCATTAGATAGGAGTATTATAATTTTCCATCTAGTAGAAGGTACTGAATTTTATTGTGTAGTAGTATTGGCAAAGAAGCGGGTGCGGAGGTAAGCTCTTCGGATATTCTGTTCTCCTGATACTTTTTGTGTCCAAACGTTCCGTTTCAACTCGATTGGACAAGGTATGGACAACTTGAGAGTAGGAAGCGACGAAATTCATCAACTTTGCTTGAAATGCTAAAAAGGGATCAAAATTAAGAACTGGAAGCACTTGATCAAACCTATTATAAATGATGGTTTATTATTTAATCTATCCATTATTTTATTTTATTCAGAATATTGAAATTTCGTTGATGTGAACGTATCGGGCGGCGTTGGAATTTCCACTCGTCAGTGAAGAATCTGGTATTTGTTGTAGATTATAAATGACATTGTTACTAGGAAAATTCATGAACCAAACTTATCGAATGTTGACTCCTTTCTGCACAATTAAAGGTACATAAATGATATCAATAGTATATTTGAGCACGTGTGGGGCAATATCGTCTTTAACGTGTGTGGGGTTTACAGCATGAGCCGAAGGCGAGTGATGTAACCACACACGTTAAGGACGAAATTTCCCAACAAGTACTGAACAAAATTTTATGTCACGAAGCCTGAAACCGGCTGAATTAGACACGAGACGCGAAGCGTCGAGTGTGTAATCCAGCCGGTTTCAGGCATGAGTGGCATAAAATAAATTTTTTATTTTTTGAAAGGTTTTCTCCATTCATCAAGCATCAAAGAAGTGGGATAATAGCTGCTTCCCACGTACCGAACAATTTCATAGAAAAACTTATCACATTCGCTAGAAAATTGTATTGAGCTTCCATTGAAAAATTGGTTTATTTCCGATCAGGGATCGGAAGAATCATCACTCTTAAAACGAGGCAAATTTAGCTTATGTTAACTGATAATATTGCCCAACAATTTTCAATTACACTGTTAGAAATTTCTTGAAATTTCAGTCACAGCGTTATCTGAATTTGCAATGTTGTGAGGTTGAATTCGAGTTCAAATGACAAGGTTCACTAAATTTCTAATTCATCTTGAAAATTCAAGAAAATCAGGTTTTTCATGTTAAACAATCATTGATTTTTCAATGAAAGCTTGAATGTCCAAACTCATCGTAAAAATTAAACATCACATACTATTTAATTTTCAATAGATTGAAAATTCAGAAAAGTTATTGCCTGAATTTTTAAAATTTTCAAGGGTTTTCAGTGCCGTATGGACCTGAAAATCGAGAATTACTTGAATATTCAAGAAATTAACTGACTCGTCAATGAAGAAATATGCAGAAATTTTATGTAACTTTGTCGTTGTTGAAAATTTCAAGCATTTTCACTTAAAATTTCAAGTGTAATTTTTTAACAGTGTACCAAATTAATCATTAACCGAATATTCAAATTCCAAAATAATTTATCGACCAGTAATTGTGTTGTTCACAAGTTCCGGGAAGGACCAATACCAATCCCCGGCCGGGGAAAAGTGAAGCTCAGTACGAAAAAAAAATTCAATTCTTCTGCAGGAATTTTCTAAAATTTTTTCACTGCACTGAGAGAAAAAAAATATTTTTTCGAACAAGTCTTGTTTAAAACAAAAATCTTTAGCTGAAAATCACAAAAAAAATATAATTCAGTGCTGACCATTTGAAAACTATCCTGAGAAGGAAAATTTTTGGAAAATTTTCGGCTGCATCGAACAATTTCTTAATTTAATTATTCCTTGTTTTGTTATTTTCACTTCAAATAATTTTTTTCTGTTAATTTAAACATTCTTGAAGGTGTGGAAGCCATCATATCCCCATTTAGGTGATTCTTTTATTTTGGATCCTACCACAAAACTCAAATGCCCCTTAAACCGTCCAGCAATTGGCCAGCCCACCCTACTCACACTGTTCGTGGGCAAAAATTGGGATGGGTCTAAACTAGGTACATCCGCAAATAATGGTACAGGAAGT